TAACTGATATCAATCCGTGATCAACTCGTAAAAACATAACTAACCCTTACAAACCAAAGTATAGAAAGCATTAAATAATGCCTGTAACATTCGATTATAGATATGTGTAGACAGTGTACTCTAAACTTGAAGAGAGAGTACTCAACTCGTAAAAATATAACTAACCCTTACAAACCAAACTATAGATAATTTAACTTTTCCATATATATTGACTAGACAAGTAAATGTATGATCAGACTGTTCGAAATGTATAACGCAAATACATCACATTTTTCAGATAATCTCCGTCTTTTAATAACGCTATCAAAAATAGGACAATTAAAAACTAAATAGTACCAAGGAGAATCTAAAACAGAAAGTGAGGCATATAAGAGGAGAAGCTTTAAAACTTAATAATTATCCTGATAAATTAATCAGAAAGTATGTAGAAAAATGTAAAAATAAAGTCGTTGTTATTATTATTAATAATAGTAATAACATTAACAATGGCGACATGTACGTCATACAGGTACAGGATAATGACAGCATAAACAATAAGGAATTTAAATCACTAGTAGTATTTCCATACAAAGAAGGAACCTCAGAAATCATCACCTTACGGAGAATCCTTAACAATGCAGGCAAGAATAAAAGTGGCTGACATTCAAACTACTCACAAACTCAATTAGAAACAAGATTTGTCAGTTAAAAGATCAATCCTGTGGAGCCAATTAGACCAAACAATTTAGTTTGTCTAATGAGGAAGGTGATGTGAGTAAAAGAGAATGATGTTCAGGAAGGCTTCGTATGCTTTTGGAAGTGTGTGAGTGGTTATTACTTCCCGGCTGCCCACACCGTGGAAGTTGATTGATTCTTCAGGTACCTGAAACAGAAAGAATGTTGCGTGACCGCAGAGCCCAGCCCAGGGGACAACTGCTCGAGGCTGGTCACACACACGGCCTGTGTGAACTGGTTTCTGGGATTGGTTCGATATTAGTAAACTTACTGCCGGTTACGGACCACCGTATGGTAAATCAGGATGTAAAATTGTTGGAGTAGACCTTTTCTGAATCCCTCTCTCCGTAGTACAGAGACAGCATAGCTGGTTGGCATGCTGGCCATCTGAGGGAAACACCTCACTGCTGTTACATCCCTGTTCCCCAGTAGTATGACTTCGCCCTCAGACCCCCAGCATAGTGTAAGAAAGATCCTTGCACAATGCCGGCAACTGCTTTTAGTCTAATCGCTATCCTAACAACCTTTCTGGCATGGTAGCACCTACAGGAACATTGATTCCAGCCAGTGAAGCTTGTTGGGTCATCGTAATGTGCAAGTCCAACCACCACGTCAAGGTAGCAGCTATCGGTCGGGGTTGGGGTCCTCGGGACGGTAAAAACCAATGGTTGGAAACAATTGGTGATATGGCTCAAACTCATCGTTCTCAATGGCTAGCAAAGATGTATCCACTCCTTGTGACTTATGATTTCCAATGAAACTATATTGTTCTTCCTTATTACTATTCCTTTGTCTCACACATCTGTTTACTGTCGCTGTTATGCATTTCTCTTACTTTCTTCTCTTGCTTTGTGTGCTACATGTGGGGAGTGTGGCGACTTGAACTTCTGAACATCAGTGTAAATGTTCTATATCGAAAACAGACAGACAATTTGTCTAATACTCTGTCCGTTATGACTGTCAGGTCAAATACATAGATCAAAGTAGTAGAACGGGGTCAGTCAGACTAGCAGAGTACAAAATTCTAGTAGGATCTAGATCAGTTGAACATAATAAGATAAGGAATCTGGAGAACAGCTCAGTCATAGCATACACACTACATGCAGTTATATATAATCCCATAACAGAATGGGATGACAGTCCTAAAACGAAAGCTTTATTTGTCAAATTAACTGAGAATACGTGCAATAGGAATGATTCAACACATGTCCTGGATAACTGAAAAAACTCTGCTCGCCCTACAATCAATAGAAAAGATTAGAGAGAACTATAAAACGAAAGCTTTGATGTTGGGTAATTAAAACTAATATTATCATGAACCACTATAAGTTGTGTTCGAAAAGTCGTCATCCAGTGAATCTAACTATTTCACCGTGTAGTATATCTAATAAATAAATCGATAAGAAAGATGGGGAGTTGAACTGTTGGGCTTTTGTTCAAAGCGCCGGTCAGTCAGTTATAATCCACGAAGTAACCTTTTTTAGGAAGTTCAACCTCCTAGTCAACATATAAGTAAGTGTAAGTACACCTACTTTGACGGCATACACAAGGCTGAAAGAACTTTAATCTTGTCAAGTTAGTGGAATTAAAGTGTTGCAATAATTCAAAATAAATATTAAAATTATAATCTATTCTGTAACTATACATGTAAGAATCATATCGCTCTTCCAAACATCATCGTGCATGGTAGTTTAGCGAGAGACAAACAAGGTGTATTCGTAAATGTTTTAGCACACCATGAAGATACAGAACACACATTTGATGTCAACAAGGCAATGAAACTTCTCTGTTGTATTTCGACTAATCTTAATTTTGTCTTACAAGTTCATCTTCTATATATGTAGTTGAAGCTGTCAAAATCCATCTTCAAAAGAAGTCTGCACAGACACTTTCCTTACCTCGGTCATCATTACCTAATTGTAAGTGTTTGATGATTTCTTGCTCCCCTTAGGTATTTTCGGCAAAGTTAGACTTTAAGCACCACTAACTAGCACCAATCAGCGAATGACCTCGAACGCACCAATCACGTTAAGGAGGTATTTTTGTGCATGGTATACTTATATATTTATGAAAAAGATGCATAAAAACTGTAGAAAAGTGTTACAGAGGATACCTGCCTCTCACATGTGATAAAAACTGCTCTCAGTTTTAAGTTGGACTATCAACAGAGTATAATTCCATTGTAGGTGAAATTTATTTTGATAGAGCCTCATAGTGTGATACAGTAATATTTCCTGAGCAATAAATTGTACTCAAAACTTCATCAGGAAATACTACTGTACAACACTGAGAATTTATCAAAATAAATTTTACCTAAAATGGAATTATACTCTACCAGAGTGCATAAGTTCTATTCTTATATCAACAGAGAAATTTAACCACGTTCTATGCATGTAATTATTTAGGTCTTCTAACCCTAACAATGACCCTAATCTTTCCTGAACCTAACCCCAACGGGAAAATACCCCCTTGATTAAACTATAATCTAACTCGAACCAACCCTAATATCGCCCTTATTAGGTTAACGTGACCCTAACTTGTCCCTGGCTTTAAGCGTAACTTAATCTTCCTCAAGCCTAAGCTGAAACTCGCCAGATATCCCATTTAATAGCATAACATTTCGATGAGCATATTTTATTGACGGTGACAACATTATTTGCCAGGTTTCACTGACCTGCTCAGTGAGCGTTTTAAAGTCATTGTTGCGGTCGAACTCCATTGGTAGTCAGTGGCGCTTAAAGTTTAACTTGACTGTATTTTCTAAATTATTTTCCTTCTAGTGTCTTTAGTTGTTGCGTTAATCCCCTTCTTAATATTACCTAATGTTAGTTTAGTGTTATATTTATGCACATTACCACAGACGGATGTTATGAAAATAACCAACCAACCAACAACAACAGCAACATCTAGCGCCAATCACCATCAACGGGAGGCATTTGAAAGAGATTACTTCATTCACTAGGGAGCATTGTCTCAACTACGAGCAGTCGGAACGGACTAGGATGTCAAATCGAGCGAGAATCGGGAAGGCAGGAGAGAAACACACACATTCATCAACCTGAAACCAATCTGGAAATCTTCGTCACTCTGCAGCATCAACAACAAAGTTCAGTCGGGTTTTCAATACAAACGTCAAGTCCGTCAGTTCTTGTATACGGATCAGAAAGTTGGCGGACAGGTCACAAAGAATATTTCCAACAGCCTGTTGCAGACCAGACCTTTATCAACCAACAACTGTCTTCGGTGGATTTATACATAAGATCAGATGGCCGGGCCGGAAAGAATCACCAACTATGGGAACAACAACAACAAACAAGACAAGAACCAATCGCCCAACAAATATGTAGGAGAAAGTGGGGATGGATTTGACACTCGCTCGCTGGGGAGGCCGCTGGGTGACATCGCGCGCGCGTCAGGCCATTTCTCGAGTGGAACCAGGCCGAAAGGGAAGCACGAGGTGAGTGGGACGTCAGTGCAAGGTGACATGGAGGAGACGGTGTGAAGAGGAGTTGAAACAGTATGGACTAACATGGATGCAAGTGAAAAGTACAGCAGAAGACAGAAGGAAGTGGAGACGTGCAGTTGAAGCCCTACGTTCCACTAAGAACCCAAGGGAACAATAATAATAATACCACAGACACACACGCATACTATTTTGAACTATAATCTACTAACAATCTATTCATATATTTTTTTTATTCCTTTACGTCGCCACTGGAACATAGAGCGCCTTCAAGCTAGAGGCTTGAAGTGTCCGCGGAAGTGGTATTTATTATTTTTACGGGATGAGCGCTAGCCTCATGCCCCACAACTTTCCCTATTTACCAGTCTTATTACTGGTTTAGTGAGGTAAAGGAGGAGTACGTCGGTGGCAAGGGATTGAACCGAAAAACAAACTGCGTATTTGGCGAGTCCCACCGACGCACACATACCCCTTGGAATTTTAATGTGAATGATCCAATGTTACTTTTATTAAAAAGAACATTAACATGGTCAAATAACAATTAATTTCTAGCTATTATAAATGGATAACAGTAAAATCTGATGAGGAAGTTATCAAAACGAATATTTTTCGCTCACCCTTTTCACCTCCGACACATAAGAATGTAGTGCCGTATAAACACTACGAAAGGCATGTGAATATACAGTTTTTCTGACTGTAGTATGTAATGAAATAATCCAAACAAAGATAAATATAAAATAAACCAAACTTTAATTAGCCGACACTACCAATTCTTCACTACTGTGGAAAAAAAAGGTAACGCAGAATAAAGTAGTAAAAACTAGTCGTATTATACTTGAAAAGCAGAGTTTAAACATGAATGCACTCCTAAAGTATCCAAAACGTTATATGCACACTGGTTTAGCCGTGACACAAAATAAAATGCAAACATAACACCATTTATAGACTTATATCTTCAAGAAATACAAAATCTCACAACGATCATTGGCTGACTCTAAAATTCAGGTTATTTAGTAGGTTTCCTTCAAGAACCTCCCAGTTTTTATTGATTGTATACTTTATATTATTATGGTTATTAGATGCTTACAAATTATATTGCCTTTAAATGAAAAGCACAAGAGTACCTTTAATACTCAATAACACAGTTATTTACAATTAATAAACACATATTGAGTCTATTATTACAAAGGAACATTTTTGGCCGTTGCCTTTTGAACAATATTTTGACCTTCTCGTTTTAGAACAGTCAGTAGAGTTTGGGAACTCTCAAGGATCTATGAGATGAGGTTGCAACAGTAGATTCCAACACATACCTTCATGTAAGCTGCTTCTGACTCTGCAATAGTCCTATCATATTCATTTCTTGTTGCCAGTTTCTTCTGAAGTGCTTCATTAACCCTGTTAAGTTTATCATTTAGAACATTTATTTCTCTTTGGAGCTTAGCGCGTTCAGTTTCATCTTGTTGGATTTGACGTTGTAATTCTTCTCGTCTTTTGCAAAGCTCCTCAAAACCTAGAAATTTAATACACTTTAAGATGTATGCCATACATTTTACAAGTTCATTATTGTAGTTTTGTAAAGCAGCTCCTTGATGAGACATGAGAAAATGAATACGAATCACGCGCTTTTGTTGTCATGACAATCACGAAACATATGTCATTTCATTTCAGGCTATAAGACCTGAGCCATTAGTGTTAATTAACTCTGCTCACCTACTTCTCTACTCAAACAGTCTACTGAAGACACGGAAACACTCCATCTTACTATTGCTTTCAAGATTTAATGGCTCCTTAATATTCAATATCGTTTTTACTAGCTAGTGTAAGACAAATTGATTTCTTTATGGTCGCTTCTTGGTTTTAAGATCATATTTCCTGGTCTTCGGCAAATTTCTGCGCAGTTCGTCTCGCCACTCGACCTTTGTGGCCTTGGATGACTCCAAAAGGAAGCTTTTTTTAATTTTCGATTACAGCTTGATTCCACACTTTATTTTTGGTACAAGTATGGAATTTTCAGTGTGGATATCGGTAGCCCTAATTTTTCAGGCCGACCATAGATATCAGGTGTGCGTCGACAGGGGATCGAACTTCGGACTATGTGCATGGTGGGCGAGAGTCCTAACCACTGTGCCACCGACGCACAGCTTGTAGTATGCAGTGTATTAAAACCGTGTTGCTACTGTAAATAGAGTTGATCCTTTTACCTGATGTCATCAAAAAAGAAAGATGACAATAGCAGATGTGATTAGTGTAGGTTACGTAGACAAAAACAGAAAACGTGCAAACAGACAAAAGTATTTGAAATTGACATATATATATGTGTGAATGAATAGAGAGACTGGTCAGAAGATTCGGACAAAAGACAGTAGGCAATAGTAAAAGGACGAGTCTAGGTCTTTACCCACTAATAGTGTTTTGGAATTTTGAGGAAATAGGCCGTTTGGACGCAGTCTTTATGGTGCTACATGGTTATCCAACCCCGCTTACAGCTTCCCACGGACGGTAGAGAAGTCACATCTACTGGCGAAGAATTCCTGAGGAGAAAAACTCAAAGTGAAAGGAAATAGGAGCGCGTCCGGGAGAAGACTTCCGTGCGCTATCCTTCGTGGATTTCTACGATGGAGCCTGCACCTACTTAGCGGCAAGATTCCTTTGTTTGGGTCATTCCGGTTATTCTTAGTCTTATAGGCAGTCACCTCTAATTTGACAGTAGCTAAGTGTGGAAAGGCATAACTTCTTCAGACATTCATCCTGCTGTTTATTTCCGAAACCCGACGTTCCTTTTGTCTTCCTTCTTTAAACTTTTTCCAAAAGACTAGTTTCCTTTCAGAGAAACAGGCAGAAATGATATTGTGCACTTCAAGGAGTGTTCCTAGGTATGTACAACCTCAGAAGAAACCAAGCTGTGGCCACGCCTATCTTTGCGCAAAGTGCATGACCGCATATGCCCCCACAAATTCACTCATGCAACTATCAAAAGTGTTGTTGCGATTTATGGTTTCGACAATTATTCTTAGATTTTGTGTACAATTACCTAATGGTTTTCTCTCTATTGGCGCGACAGCTTATGATAGTTTCTGTTAGGCTTTCCTCGTATCTGCCTGCCTTCTTTGGACAAGTGTTATCTGGAAATTTTCCGGATTTCTTGGCCAAGTTCAGTGATGCCTGGGTCAAAGAAGGGACAAAGCGCTTTGGAAGCAGACAGGAAAGTAAGCAATGATAAGTTGCCTGTTAAATGTAATGATATGTATTATGTTCAGCATGATGAGTTTGTCGTTCATAGTTCGCAGTTTAGGGATAGTAAGGGTTTAAAGTTGCCTAAATTCGAGCCTCGGTACATTGACGGAAACCCAACCGACTATCCACAGTTTATCAAAGAGTTCGGGATCATGTTCAGTGGTTTTTTATGAAATGAACTCAATGTATTTGTTGAGGTACTGCACTGAAGTTGCTACAAGAGCTATGCAGTGCTGTAAGTTTATGCCCAAAAACGAAGGATATACTGAGGCGATACCTATCCTGCGTCAAAGATTTGCAAGATTTTCGTTGAATGTAAGGAACGAACTCGAGGCTGTTAAAGGTAATTGTCAATGTAGTTGAAGATTGAACGATCAATTCATGGTTGTTTGCTCAAACCAACTTCCCCAATTTTCGCGGAGTCATCAATACGACAGTCATCGTTTCATCGGTCGCTGTTCAGAAATAAGTCAGCAGTAAACCGTCAGAAACCATAGTGGAAATATGTTTTATATGTTGGTGTAACAATAAAGTATTCTCGAGTCAACAATTGGTGTTTTGGATTTTGCGTCCGTTATTACTAAGCGTTTCTGAAAAACTTAAAGGAACAGAGTGAGCCCGAGTGTAGCAAGAGCTGGGCATTAACGGTTTACGCGACGTGGTTGACAGAGGATCAGCCAAGTGTAAACGAGAGAGTAATTGTTAAATTGACTTGCATGAATAAATGCATTTCAAGTTTCAAGTTACTATTTGAATGCTATTATCGTTCGTGTAAATCACTCTGTGTCTACACTTGGTTGACCAGATACTTCGTGTGTTTGTTCGTCATCTATATTCTACGATACAATCACATGAGCGCGTTACCGTTCAGATTTGAGGATTTAGCTCATAGAAGGAAGTTAGCAAATGAACTCTGCGACGAATTTCCAACCTAGGGCGTCAACCTGAGAAGGGTTGTAGGCGTACTGCTGTAAGTCCTACAGTTCTTCAAAGGGTAGCGCATCAATGAGCAGTCCAATGTGCTTGGTGTATGATCCTGTACATATGTTCATATTGTATATACTGAATTGATATCATCTGTCATCTAGCTGTTGGTATTTCTGTTTGTGTCCGGACGACTTCCGCTTGGATCATCAACCTGAGAAGGAATGTAGGCGTACTGCTGTAAGTCCTACAGTTCTTCAAGGGTAGTTCGTCAAGGCAGAATCCACAACATTTGATGTGTTGATTGTACATGTATTTGTGTTAAATAATTGTGTGAGTACCAATTATTGTAATTGTTGGTTAATCTTGTTTGCGTCCGGATATTCTTCAACCTACAATCGTCAACCTGAGAAGGAATGTAGGCGTACTGCTGTAAGTCCTACAGTTCTTCAAGAGTAATTCGTCAAGGCAGAATCCACAACATTTGATGTATTGATTGTACATATATTTGTGTTAAATAATTGTGTGAGCTCCAATTATTGTAATTGTTGGTTAATCTTGTTTGTGTCCGGACATTCCACAACTTACAATCATCAACCTATGAAGGGTTGTAGGCGTACTGGTGTAAGTCCTGCGATTCTTCAAAGGAATTCCATCGAGACACGATCTGCGAGTTTGCGTGTACTGTTTGTATATACGTGTGGTGTGTCATATCAGTTGGTGTCTTTGGATTCACTGTGTTTACTTGTTGTTTTCGTATCTTGTCGTTATTGCATAATTCTGTTAAAATTTTCGTCGTGATTACTTCTGAAGTTGTTTCTAGTCTTCTACATCCATGAATGAATTGATTGATGTTAAAGACAACAGACGGGTCGTATACACCGGAGAGGCTAGTGGTGAGAATGAAATGCACACGGAGACAATTGTTAGCTGCGGTCCCACACGCCGGGGAGAAAGAGTGTAAACGACTGAGGCTCGCATACGTCACCGTTACTATGACTGAGACAGAATGAGTGATAAGCGATTTCAGTGGTAATTGGTAGTGAGTAGATAAGAGGATGTGCGTGGAGTATCATGAGGTGGTGCTATGGTCACGTTGCATTCTGCAAGAGTCATTCTAGCAAGTGACGATTGTGTTGCAAGAGGATGTGTCAAGAGGATGCCTTTAACTGGAAGGCGTAAGTCGTCACCGATGAGTGAGATTGTGCTGTGGGTATGCTTGTGGTGTGTTGGCTTTGCTGTTTGTTTTCCATTTCAGCTCTGTCCGTGTGACCCAGGTTCTCGCAATGGCATCCAAGTCAACATGTGTTGGTCGTGATGGAAAAAAAGGGATGGATCCCTTTTTTGGCGGGGAGTGTCAATGTAGTTGAAGATTGAACGATCAATTCATGGTTGTTTGCTCAAACCCGACTCCATATTTTTCGCGGGAGTCATCAATACGGCAGTCATCGTCTCATCGGTCGCTGTTCAGAAAGAAGAGTAAAACATCGTCAGAAGTAATATTATGATTTATTATTGTAATATTTGTTCACAGACCTTAGTCATACTTGATTTATATGTTGGTGTAACAATACAGAATACTCAAGTCAACAATTGGTGTTTTGGATTTTTCGTCCGTTATTACTAAGCGTTTCTGAGAAACTTCAAGGAACAGCGTGAGCCCGAGCGTAGCAAGAGCTGGACATTAACGGTTTACGAGACGTGTCTGACAACCATTGTAACTCACAGTATTACTTCAGATCGTGTTGCTGCATTTTCATGCTGGAGAGAAACAACTAGACTGCAGCTGGGACTGTGGCCTCCAATGGAAACAAAACCACTTCCATATGTGAGGTCACTGCACATACATTTAGTAAAACAACATCGACATCGGCGGTAATCAGGCCCTACGGAAGGTGCACAACGAACTTATAAAAGTAGCGGCCCCAGCCATTCTTCATTAGCTCAGTCACGCTTTTCATTCCCATTCCTTGCTGTTATAACCTCTGGTTTCTCCAAAGAAAAGAACGGCATTTCGTTTGATGAAAGCCATATTTCGATAGTGAAACTAATACGTTAGCATTGCAATCCGTATAGCTTCTTCACATACATCTTCCCTGGATATATTTCTTAGTGATAATGTCCCAATTCGCAGTTTCCCAAAACGACGTTTTTCTCCCTGAAATATATTTTCATCACTCGTGTGTGGAGTCCTCAGTCAAATATTAGTTGATGACCAGTCGAGTACGTCCACCCAAAATACCAAAGTATCGGGTTTCCCAATCAACCCAGGTGACAGCTTTAAAATTTAATATTTATATGGTCCTGCCTTATGACTAATACTAAAATTCAACCGTTTACCCAATCGGAACAGCACTTAATTATTGACGTTCAGTGATCCAAATTTATCTAGTATTTGATCATATCTACTTAATGGTTCTCATATGAAGTCTCCTGCTTATATGAAAAAGCACATGAAAAACACATATGAAAGGACATGTAGGCGTTAATAGTAACCATGACTACCTTGAGTTTCCGCTCAAACATTCGCATAAACTCGACATTTAAACTGGGA